TCCCCCAGCACCACATGCCAGCCAGCCCCGGCCCCTGGTGGGCTGAGCTGGCCACACACACACACACACACACACACACACAATAAATAAAATGTAAAAAAAAAAAAAAAAAAAAAAAAGAATACGGGCAGAAGTAATAGCAGAAAACTTCCCAAATATGGGGCAACAATCTGACATGCAAGTAACTGAAGCATAAAGAACATCAACCCAATTAAAAACAAATGCAGACATAGAATAGTCAAGATCCCAGAAATCCAGCACAAAAACAATATACTTAAAGCCATTAGAGAAAAGAAACAGATCACATTTAAAGAAAAACCCATAAGAATAATGGCAGACTTCTCTTCACAAACCATGAAGGCAAGAAGAGCATGGAGCAGAGTTCTTCAGGTCCTCTGTGAAAACAAATTCCAGCCCACACTACTATACCCTGCAAAACTCTCTTTCAGGTTTGATGGAGAAGTGAAATACTTCCACGACAATGAACAACTAAAGAATTTCATGACGACAAAGCCAATCCTACAAAGACTACTAAAAGATGTTCTAGAGAGGGATCAAAATGATCAGAACTCCATGAATGAGATCAGATGCAACCAACTAAATGGGGCAAACAATTAAACACAGAAGAAAAAGGAGTAAACAGCAGCAGGTAAATAACATGTCAATCATAAGTCAATACATCTGAATTATAACCATCAATGTAAATGGACTCAATTCACCAATTAAAAGAAATAGACTGGCACAGTGGATTAGGAAACAGTATCCAACAATATGTTGTATACAAGAAACACACTTAACTCATAAAGAAATTCATAGGCTGAAAGTCAAAGGATGGAAAACAATACTACAGAACAATTAGGCATTTTAAAGCTACAGTCTATCTGTTTCATGGACAGACATAAATAAACACATGGCCCCTTAGCCCTGCTAAACACAGGGTCAGGCCCCTTACCAGATCCCAATGTACGGATTCTATGCCCCGGCCATGGCTACTGCCAATTCTGAGCCAGCTCTGCATTTTGTTTCCTTTCTGCATGGGGCTGCAAAAGTGCCAATCAGCCTATGGACCTGATTTTGGCCAAGGCCTAAGTCCAGAACAGAAGATCTTGATTGGATTCCATCTAATTTCCCTTGGGACATTGAAGCTACTTCATTTTTGTCAACAGTACTGAAAAGCATGGAGCCACAGACATGACTGCCAAACAACCTGATCAAAGAGACCAATACCCATCAGAAGAAGTAAGCCTGGAAGAACTGGATGCTTCAGGGAGAAATAGGCCAGCAGTGTTAGTCCTAAGAAAAACACATGTTGTGGTAAAAAAAAAATAAAAAAATAAAAATAAAAATAAATCAACATTGGGGGCCAGCAAGATGGCTCAGCGGACTAAAGTGCCTACTTGGGCAAGTTTAGGCAAGTGCAGAGACCGTGGTTCGATCCCCAGCACCACATGCATAGTGGCACACTCCTGTAATCCCAGAGCTGGGGAAACTGAAAGCAGGAGGATTACCACAAGTCCAAGCTGTGTAGTGAGACCCTGCAACAACTAAATACATAAAAAAAGAAAGAAAGAAAGAAAAAGAAAACAAGTGTGGGGGTGTCCCAGAGGGTGACTTCATGGTAGGACAGAGTTGGAGAAAACAACCAGAGCAGTCCCTGCCATACTGTGAGAAAACCAAGTACCATTTTGGAAATGGACTGATCACATGGAGAGCCACAGAACAGCTATATTACAGCTTCACTCCAGGTCTAAACCTGTTACCTTTCCACAGTGAGTGGGTGAGACAGCCATGGGAGACAGACTAAGAGGGTGAGGGCTCGACACAGATCCCCAGAGATCCGGGAAAGCACACACTGGGCCTCTATCCTGAGGGCTGGTTCAGGGGTCTGGCTTTCAGAGGTGGCTGGACCTGAACGTGATGACACTGAGTCCAGAAGACTACTCAAGCCTCTACCTGACTGTCTACAACCAGAGAGAACAGTGGTCTGAATGCTGCTTTGTGTGCCAACATGAGCAGGGACGTGTGTTAGTGCACGCGGCTGTCACAGATGGGCATACAGCAGGGAACCCCTCAAACAGAGATCATCATACAAACCCACAGAACAGAACGAGGGGCAGAGAGGAATGTGACCTGCTCAATTCCAACGACCATAGGTTCTAAAGGAAAAATATCACTTGGAAAGACAAAAGAATTTTTTCCCTCTTCTTTTGATCCTAGTTTTTTCTTTCTTCTCTAACGGGTTTTTTGTTTTGTGGTTTTTGGTGGTGTTTGTAGTTTTATCTTCCATTTTCTTTTTCTCCCCATTTTTATTATTATTTTATTTTTTAAAATTAGGTCCTTTAATCCCTCTACCTTTTCTCTTTTAACTTATTCTCTTATTGCTTCTTTTCACTTCTAAAAAGAATATACCTTTTACTATTTATCCTTTTCTTTGTTGGTTTTTTCTATTGCTTTTTATCTAATACTATTAATTTCCTTTTACTCCTAAATCCTTTATTTCAATTCTATTCTTTATTCCATTACTTCATTCCATTGCTTAATTTTTCTCTTTTTAAATTAAAATTCAATTTTATTTATTTCAATAAAAAACTCACAGTGCCATTAAGGCTTCCCAAAAATGCCCCTTCTTTCTTTCTTTCTTTTTTTTTTTTTTTTTTTGCAGAACCGGAGATTGAACTCAGGCCCTTGTCAGGGAAGCGCTTATTCCATTGAGCCATCTCCCTGGCTGCGCCCTCTTACTTTGAATATGTTCACTCAATCATTCATGTCACTTTTTCAAGCAACTCTGGACCCTGTCTTTGTGTGGCCAAAGTTTTATCCTCCAGTTTGATAAATCTCCTTGTCCCAGATCATACCTGGCATGGCAACTTCTGTCAAGTGTAACTGTCCCTGTGTGCCTTCCCCATCTGATTCACAGATCTGGCACCCTATGACTGCCAGCTCCTCCCTAAACTGAAAATGGACAAGGTAGGTAAGTATTTTGAATGGATTCAGAACATAAGAGGCAATGCTGCACAGCAACTAAAAACATATAAAAGAGGACCTCCAGAAGAACTTCAGAAATTGGCAGAAGATGGGATACATGTACTCGAAGTGAAGGGAAGCATTTTGAAGGGGGTTAATGGCAATCCATTGCTTAATTTTTTAAATTCTACTTTTTCTCCCCAAATTCTCCACAACCTCTACTCTTACTTATATAACCATTAAGTTTTATGAATCTTTAAATCATTAACTTTATTTCATGATGGTTGATCATTGCTCTATTGTTAAGGAGGATAAATGTGTTCTACTGAGTAGGTATTTAGTATACATCAATATTTGGTTTGTTTTAAGAGTTAATACCATAACTATAAATCTCTCTTCTAAGGTTAGGGGTGGTATTTTACTGCTTCTTAGGGTTTGTCAATATCTAGTTTATATTTGATTTTACTGTTATTGTTGATTTCAC